TACACTTCTCATGACCTTTGAAAATGATAATGCGCCACAGTCCGGTTGCTGAGCGTTAGTTCGAGTCAGCACGCAGTACATTTTAACTGTGATTTGACATTATATTTACCATGTATTTGGTAATATTTCTTTTCTTCAAGTTTCATTGCTTTGAACTCTTACTGAACACGATGAGGGGAAAAATCTGGTGCTTCAACACATGCTTATAATTATGCATATCCATGGTTCCGAATAGCTTTTCATTTCCACCAAATATTTATTTATTTTGCAGGACTCAAACACCTTGAAATAACTGGTCAGATATAGGAACACCCACTTCATGCATTGGTCCGTATATGCGTATACCATGAACTTCAGGGCTTCTAATGCTAACTGGAACTCGTTTAAGTAATCTCTAATACTATCATATCGCCAGCATGGCAGCTATATCGTTAAATAGATAAATTTGCCTAAAGTTAATTATACATGCTCCTTTGATGTGTTCACTTAGTTGGACGTCAACACAAGCACGTGGCTATTCAGTCCTAGAGATATGTATTACTCCTGGCGACATAGCGATGGCGTCAATTGCAACTGAGACACATATTTTTGCTGTATTTTTAATGACATTCTTATCATACTGTCTGGAAAAACAAAACAAGCGACTAATGATTGAATTACTAAAATTGCCGATACCACAACTAATAAAATATACCAAATGCATAATACTTGTAATCTTTCGTGTGTGTGTGTATGTTTCGGATAGTAATATACGATTTGTTGTGGGTCCATAGCTCTTCTTGTGTCGGTCTTTAGTCTTTGTGATGGTTTTTTATTCATTTCTGAAAACATTTGGTGTCATTAAATTTGCTATTTCGGATATTAGGATTTTTATCCACACAGAAGAGCTATGGTTTCTCTCATAGACCTTCCTAACACAAACGTGCGACGCCAAATGACATCGCAAATATACCATCTGTTCATCTCACACCCTTATCAACAGGGTCGGTAAATAAGGATTCAGTGCCACTGTGTGAGGTTCTCGTCTGCTGAGAGTAGAAAGAAGAATTGCCTTGCGAGTGTGTGTCAATTTTTGTGTTTTTTTCTTCAACCTATAGTGTTGATGTACAGGGGAAGTGAAGGGAATGCGTCAACGTGTTCTGTAAAGATAGTTTGCTATTGATAAATAAGAAAATAAGGTAGTCAGGAATTTCGCTGTCATAAATAATCACCTTTTTCGGTGTTAGCGACTATATGGATTGTCGCATGGTACGTTGCAATACCTTGTGAATAAATACAGTTGACTCGTATTTGCGTCGAAATGTGTTAAATATTAAATTAAATCTCTGTCAAATACTTTTTCGCCCCGAGTTTGTGAAATAAAAATTAAACAATTGCAACTAAACGCTATATGAGAAATATATCACTGCCACTATATGATGTCATCTTAGACGCGAGAATGTTTTTTTAATTTACATCCGAGTTCGAGAGAATACGACCGCCATACGATGACAACACGTTTATTCGGAATATCGAGGGATTACATACAAACAGCGGATATGTTCATATTATATATAGATGTGGGTCCATAGCTATTCTTGTGTCGGTCTTTAGTTTTTGTGGTGGTATATATTCATTTCTGATACATTTTGTGTCATTGCACCATATATCTAAAATTATTTCTTGTTTTCATCAACCATGCAAATCATAAGTGAATTTACGACGACGAAGTTCCCAACTGCCAAATTTCGGATTTATCTCTAACATCAATCAAACTATGTACTCAGCAAGTTTGACATATAACCCCCTTACTCAGATAACGTATTCATTACACGCACTTTTGCATAGTAATACGATGGCTACTAAAATGTACTTCACGCGGTCAATAATCATTCTTTCGTTTGTGTGCTGTTGCCACCTCCTTTGCGGACGAGGTAGGTTGTATTATACAATTGCGTAACGTCACTACATTTTACCTGTTCATACCATATGGGCCATGTATATATCATTTCAGTAGACGAGGCCTACTAATTATTCATTGTGAGTAATCTCATTGCTACACTCACGGGACTAATTTTCTGTCACTTATTAATAAACCAAATTTAATAGCGGTCAAATATTCTAAAACTCGGCAGGTTTGTCGATTTTTATAGGACTAGCTGTTATTATTGATTTAGAAATTATACTGTGATAAGACAGGTTTTCTGAACGGATATTGATGTGTTTTTAAAGTTGCATCCAGCACCACACCCAACAAGTAATCTGTAGAATGCTGTGTGGGTAATATTTTTATATTGATTTTTGCTGCATTTGCAGCAAATAGTTACCAAACAGTGAGAAATCTATTGGATTGAATATACCTCTCAGGTGGCTTCACATGCATAGTTCAAGCCTGCCTAACTGGTGCTTATACCAGGATTTAGTTACAGCTTCATGTTCCCAGTAATCGCAAGAAATTGACATGACAATAGAAATTCATGAAAGACTGGCACTCCCATGCAATTAACAGCGAGTGAAATTCTTGGGATTGAAACATATATTTTGAAGTCACTGATGTAGGCAATGAATAACTTAAAGTTGACATAAAGACGAGGTAGTTTATTTAATCAGTGCTCAACTAGAGGCTGACATTATAATTAATTTGTTTATTTCAATTTCTCCTGAAGTCAAATAGAATACACTGGTGAAACACGATAGTACCCATGGGTGAAAGGATGTTTTGGGGTGTAGTTTACATTGTGTATGGAGTGGTAGGGTCGGGTGTAATTTGTTCATTTCTAACTCTTATGAAGTCACGAAGAATTTCACTTAATTTATTTTTGCTGACATGTTTTCAAGCATCACATGTGAATCCAATTTTCACTGTGCTGTGTCTCAATAGAGTATGAGGGAAATGGCATTTTCACTGGAATTTATTTCAGGGGAAAAATGTTTTCAGTGATAATGAAGTATTATGACAGAACCCCATACCCTCCCTGTGGCTTTCATTGCGTATGGAAGT